TCACTTCAGTCTTCACCGAGTCACACTTAAAAGGCCGTTATTCCAGGTAAATCACCATTATTTCATTCTTGCTTTTTTTCCTGTTTCTGGCGTGTCTGAAATGACGGTGATTTACCTGGAATAACGGCCTTTTAAGTGTGACTCGGTGAAGACTGAAGTGAGTAACATCAAGGTGGAACCAAACATATCGCCTTTTACCCTCCAACCAACACCGCACCAGTATACGTGATCTCAATGACGAAGGTAAGCCTCTTTACTATTCACGATCTAGTAGTTCTAATGTACTCTAGCTGTGTAAGGCGGGTATGTGACAAGAGAATCGTAATTCGCCGCGCCAGTGGGCGTCGCGTGCGACGTCGCGCCCGCTAATGACGACGATTTTGGGTGGTATTGGTCGAGAATAGATAATGTATGACCAAGAGACATAACTGCTTACGATGTCCTTGTCTACATGAAATCCGATGCTCCAATCAAAAGGGTAGTTCAAATTAAGGAAACGTCGCGCCCATTGCCGCACGCGACAAAGTGGCAATTTACGATTCTCTTGCCCGTCTCCCGTGTAGAGTGGTGAAGCTTATCTGTTTTAGCAAATAGAAAATAAGCCGACGCAATCGAGCGGCTTTTCATGGTGGGTGGCGGCTGTGTTCATCATCGGAGAGACGGCCGGAAGCGGTTTGGTGGCTATGCCAAACGCCATCAAAAACACAGGTGAACGAAATTTGATGGTTTCAAATTGAGCGATTATTTCAGTTCCCATTAAGTATGCGAAAAAAAACCTGGCAGCTAACCAGGGAAGTCCGCCAACTTACCATGGAACTTTGAATGGAGACCTGGGTAGATCGATAGAGTCTATAAGGTTATTTACAAATATAGATAGCAAAACTGCAACCTGCATTTCACAAGCAACTTATGAGCAGGTTTCGTAAGTGGTGCAGTAGAGTGAAGGCTTGGTGGTGAGCTGTGAAGCATAAGCGAGGAATCGCATACGAGTCGTGGTGGTTCAGTGGTAAGGTTCGACGTTCGACGACTCGATTCGACGTATGCGATTCCTCGCTTATGCTTCACAGCTCACCACCAAGCCTCCACCCTACTGCACCATTACAAACTTTACCTGCTCATAAGTTGCTTGTGAAATGCAGGTTGCAGTTTTGCTATCTATATTTGTAAATAACCTTATAGACTATCGATCTACCCAGGTCTCCATTCCATGGTAAGTTGGCGGACTTCCCTGGTAAGCGTGTGACTGTGCAAAGACCATCGCGGTGGGCAAGGTTCCCCAATATCCGATTGGAGGATGCTTCCATTCGCAGGCGAAAAACGTTCGCGTCGCTGTTCGGCTTAGAGGGACTCTTGCACTTGTGCTAGTCCCTTCAGTTCGTGTTACCTAAAAGGTCCCACCTTAGTCAGACCTGTAACACCGTGAAGCTGTGAAATTGTTCGAGTGAACCAGTCCGGTCACAGAAGTCTACAGGTCTTCACAGGGTGGCCTTAGATGTCTTGGGATGGTGAACTTAGAGCTTACCAGGAAAGGTCTTCAGATTAGCCCAGTCATTTCCAATGAGCTGCACACCGTTGTGCGCGTCTTGGGA